CAATTCCCACTCAAGACTAGATGTTCGAAAGTTTTACTTACTTCTGCTAAATATCTAGATGCAATGGTCGTCCTGACATTCAGTTTCAAACTCAAATTTGCCTTTTTTTACTGAAAATTTCCAAAAATAAAAAATCTCAAGAATTTTAATTTAAATTCTGAGGACCCATCAAAGAGGTTGTAATTCTGAGAATTTCCTCACCATAGCCTTCCCCTGTTTACCAAAAGTTTTGCAAAAATTCTAATGCTTAATTCAATAAAAATAGATACACAGGCAGCGCTATACACACGAATTTAAATGTGATTATTAATGATCTCTTTAAATATTGCCGTTCCATGGCTATTTGTAATGAGCATGATGAACACACAGAGGTTTATACTATACCTTAAAAATGCTTATGTAATTCATCCAAGCTAGTCAATAGTGACTTTAAAACCCCTGAATAAATTCGGCTTCCTTGCAAATGTTAATTAATAGAAAAAAAAATAACAATGCATAATGGGAGAATATTTTTATTTCAATTTTCTTTATCCATTCCAATGATTCTATACACAAATTCAAATCGACATGTGTAATTTGGAACAAATTGGTTATTTAATGTGTGTGGTAAAGTACAGCAAAAATTAATTCACACTGTACTATGAATTTAGCTTTTTTTTCCTCTCTGTTTCTTCTTTTTGTGCTGCACGCTGAAACAATTGCCGGCAAATGTTCTTTTTGCCTCCCGATATTTGTAATCGATTGTAAGAATTTTTGTTATATTTTAGAGGAAAAGAAATGAGAACAACAAATTTAATTTGAATCGGTTGTTTGGTGGGCTTCAAATTGCTGATTTTAATTGGTGCAGAGAGTAAGAAAAACTAATTACAGATCATATGGGAATTTGCATATACAGGAACACCCACAATTTTTATCGTCAACTACTTAATTTCCCACGCATTTACAAACACATGAGAATGATGTCGATAACTCGTAAGCATTATTGCAAATAATCTTTTCGCTAATTTATTAGCTAATTGGAAAAACTAACTCGTAACAATGTGTCTCGCATGAATAATTGAAAAATTTATATAAAAAAAATATATGTTATCAGTGATCAGTGAGCGGAAAGATCAATCGCATGCGATTAGCATTTATGCGAATATGCAAAAATTCATTTAAATTATATTAAATTAAATGGTTTTTATTTTTGTATTTCCATTTTTATACAATCGTGGATACTTACTTTGTCATACATGGCTTTAAAAGAATGAAGTAATAAAATTCGATCGAAATGTGATTGAAATAAATTAAAAATACTTTTTTTTTTCGAGGAAATTTTATTTATTATTTTTGAGTTAAGAACCTTATTTGCATAGATGAAGTAACAGTAAATGTTGGCGTTATGCCTACATTTTGATTTTCAAAAGAACCAAGATCTAAAGACTAGAGACTAGAGACTAGAGACTAGAGACTAGAGACTAAAGACTACAGACTACAGACTACAGACTAGAGACTAGAGAATAGAGACTAGAGACTAGAAACTAGAGACTAGAGACTAGAGACTAGAGACTAGAGACTACAGACTACAGACTAGAGATTAGAGAATAGAGACTAGAGACTAGAGACTAGAGACTAAAGACTACAGACTACAGACTACAGACTAGAGACTAGAGACTAGAGACTAGAGACTAGAGACTAGAGACTAGAGACTAGAGACTAGAGACTACAGACTACAGACTAGAGACTAGAGAATAGAGACTAGAGACTAGAAACTAGAGACTAGAGACTAGAGACTAGAGACTACAGACTACAGACTAGAGACTAGAGACTAGAGACTAGAGACTAGAGACTAGAGACTAGAGACTAGAGACTAGAGACTAGAGGCTAGAGACACTAGAGGCTAGAGACTAGAGACTTGACAAAAGACCAAAGCTAGTCCAGCTTACTATGATATAATGAGTCACTATCAAGATTCCCTACAACTCAAACTCAAACGATAATTATGCAAACATGATCATTCGCTCAATTCAAAATATCGACACATTTTCACCACAACATTTATTATGTATTCAATCGACATATCTATACATACATATCAGGCAAACGCCCCTATTTTGACGAATCATTTAATCCTATTGCGACGACAAGTAACGAAATGTAATAATAATAATAAATGAAGAATACCAAAGACAAGAAGAAGAAGGAGAGAATGAGTAAAAATGAAGAACAAGAAGCAGAAGGTAGTGAGAAGCTTAAAAAGTCAGAAGCAGTTTACAAAATACAACACACATCAACAGTAAAATAAGGGTGCAATTGTAATTAATGTCACGGTTAATTTATGCACATGTCTCTCTGTCTCTCGATCTCTTCACTCCCTCTCGGATCTCCATGCTCATCAATTCAGTCATTTGATGGATCACAAAATTTAATTGATTTTAATAATACAAACCATTCAACCTAACAACAGTGGCCGGTTACGGTTGCACACATTTTTGACTTGAATTGTTATGTGAGAAAATATAATAATAAAAGAAGCAAGAGCAGCAACAGCCCGGTAAATGAAAATTGGATTGGAATAATAAAATTTATATTCAACAACAACAAAAAAAAAAAATAAAAGAGCCGAAGAAGAGTAAGTGAATAATAAGGAATAACAATGATCATGACTCTCACATACATTGATTAATATTCAAAAGAGGTTGACAATGCTCTCATCATTGAGTCACAGCTTTTATGGCATACAAATCGAGGCCTAATTTTTCTACATACCCTTATGAACTCAACCTTTTGTACTTTATAATTCCTAATTTGTCAATTACATTGCACATGCTTAATTATTGTGAAATATATTTTGACATCAACAATTCAAGCCCTTATTGAGGAGTTCAATATGCATTCAAGGATGGATGGCACATATTGATGCAACTGCACTTAACAATTTTTTTTGTCTACTTCTTCTTTTTTTCCTTCACTTCTCATTTTCTTTTGCCACACCGCACCATGACAATCTGATTCCATCAATCATCACACCACCGATCATTTTTTTTTCTTTCTCTTCTTGTTCTTTTTTAGCGGATTTTTCTGAGTAAATTGGGTTATGTCGTGTGACTAGTCTGTGAAAATTTGTCTGCTTTGTCAGTTGTGGCTTGTCATTGGCACCGAATATTCTTTTTTGGAAAGGGATAAAGCTACTGACAGGCTGATTAGTTTGTTAAGAGAGAATATTGGCAATTTTTGGCAACCGCTTGATGAAATACTGCCAATTTTGGGATTCTGCTGCCAGTTGTGAATATTCTGTAGACAATTTTTAATGCTTACTGCTTTAGAGCTTATTTTGTTCAGTCATGTGTTCCTATATCCTCACTTCTTTAGGGTAGGATCCTCAAAAACACCCTATTAAGAGCAAAGTTAAACAATTTCAAACATGCAGAGGTTTTGACCTTAAAACCTTACCTAAACTACACCCCTGAACCTTAATATTTGGAATAGTTTACGAACTTAATTACTTCACTGACCATAAATTCCAATTACAATCTATAGTCCTCAGTTGTAGATGAATTACGATACTAAGTGCAACATGATCTTTTGAAAAGATTCAATCGATTACTAAAGCTCCTTAACATTCACTAATATGCGCTCTTAACCTTCCTCATCTGAACATCGACTCTCAAACTTCCCAGTTTAAATTTTTATGAAAAAAAAAAAAATGTGAAATGTGTCCCTGCCGATCGTTCTTATTTGCTGCTGTTATATTTCGTTAAAGTGCATGCCTGCCTGCCTGACACAACATTGTATGTTGAATTTCAATCGACAAGCGTGTGATGACGAATATCAACGAACATCAATAGCAATAAGTATTAGAGTGGCATGGCGTTCCCTACAGATGATCATCAGTTTTTCTTTATGTCATCAACGTCGTCATCATTGAGAGAATTTAGTGTATTTATTTTTTGATATCACCCTTCAACAGTAGACAAGACTGAAAAAAAAATGTTGAAGAGGAGAAGAAGACCCGTGAGAGAGAACGATAGATTGCGAGAGATAGAGAGCAAGAAAAGAACCAGAGTGGGAATTTGTTCTTTTCTTTTCGTTATGGTCTCATGATCATCCCAACTTCAACTTTATATTATTATATTATTTTTACTTTATTTTATTTCAACTATATATTGCCGAATGTACAAAAAAATAAAGAATAAAAAAGTGTGTATAAGTTAAAGTAAAAGAGCCAGAGAGAGAGAGAGAGAGAGAGAGTGAATAAGAGAGATGATGTGTACGTATATAAATTTCTGAATATGAATAAGACGCCGGTGCCGAGTTTGTAATATCGTTTGGATGGGGCAAAGATGGTAATTTTTTAATGGACTTTTTAAGCAACAACACAATTTCTCAAATATATACAATTCCGTACAAGAAAAGCATGAGAATGATGGCAATTTCCATTTACGATGAATACACATTTTTGTCCAGAAAGTGCATATAAAATTAGTTTGCTGGACATCTCACCGAAGAGGTAAAGAGACATAAAGGAGAAAGAACTACCTAGACTTCTTATTTTCGCAATGTCACAAACATCAACACGTCAATAAAAATTACCCAAATGATAGTTCTAAGGTCACGTCTTTCTAGCTATATATTTTTTTTTTATTTTTTGAGGTATATGTGGGATGCAATAACAATGTTAAAGCGTAAAGAAGGATAGGTAATAAAACAGAAAAAATAAGAAAGAAAGAAAAGAAAGGAAGGAAGCAATATCCTGAACAGAATCTACCCTCACATATACACCGTTACAGGTAGGACACAAATACATATGCCACACGATCACTTGCAACTTGGAAAAATCTCAACGAATTCAACTTAAACACACATTTATGTAATGTAAAGTTACAGAAGAAAAAAATTATTATTTAAAAAATATTCGCGGGCGCCTTTTCGGTACATACATGTAATAGTTTTTTCTCATATGGTTAAGTGTCACAACTACATAATATATAGCGGCAAAATCATGATTATGAAAACTTTATTTTATTATTTTATTTTACTGTCAAGTCACTACTGTAAGGAAATTGTCGGATTTCTTCATCTCTTCTTTTCTTTTTGAACCTCAGTACAACTCGTAGAGTGCATGAGAGAAGACTTTAATGTTGTATTGGAAGTTGTGTAGCCGAATAAACACATACACAACCGGACCCCAACCATGTGTGTATATCGGGAATTTTCGCGTTCGTACGGTTCGGAAAAAGAAAATTTTCTGTTTCAGTTCAACTTGTAATTTCAACTCGCTTACACGACGTTTCGTAAACGCTCCTCATATTATATCGTGCCTATATATCTCTATATCTTTCGGGTGTGCTGATTTTTCATCATCCATAATTTTTTTTTTATTTCATACATTTTAATTTTTTTTACCCGTTTGGTCTACTAGACATCTATAGGATAATATTTTTTTTATTATTTGAAAAAAAAAATTAAAGTTTAATTTTTTGTGGATGTTTTGAGACACTTTTGGATTGATTGGGAACTTATGGAAAGTTCAGACTGGTCAATCAGCGAGAAAAAAAAATTGCAAAACTATTTTATCTCTAATTAAAGAGTCTCTCTCACTTACTCATATACAACAAGATGAACATTATGCGACAATCATTCAATTAAAAAAGAGAGTGAGCACATACAAGACACAAAATAAAATAAAATAAAAAAAAATTGACAAATTACGGAAGAAAAAAAGATTTTCCGAAAAAAGACAAGAGTCTCTCAAAGTGAAGATCGAAAATTGCTTTTTTGCCTTTCAATCTATCGCTCCTCTGATGATCGCGACGGTGTGAACGATATATAGAGAAAGAGAGATTGCAAATATAGAACAGTGATTAGTTTTTCATGCCAGAAGCTGTTGAAACATAAAAAAAAAGATTTGCGAAAAATAAGAAGATCAGTTTTTTTAATTCATGGTGAAGATATATACGAAAAAAAAAATCAGAGTGTGAAGAAACTTTAAAGGAAAAATAAAAGAAAAAGAAAAGAAAAATTGTGTGTAGTCCTCGGCACTGTTAACTCATCTTTCTTTTCTTTTACAAAATACAAAAAAAAAATCACAAAAAAGAAAGAAAGAAAGAGAGAATTAAAAAAAAGTAAAAAGAACTTGGTTTTGTGTTGTGTGTGAAAATGATAAATACACATCAAGGAAAAGAAAGAAAAAAGAAAAATTATTTTCGGTACATACGGCAATGAGTAATCAACGGGAATGAAGAAAATAATGTAAATTTGAGAGAATCCGCTTCACTATTTACACCTCGACAAAAAAAAAGAATCATAAAGTGTATTTTGTATTGCAAAAGTCTCCAGAAAGGAACTTCTCGGCTCTTTTTCTCAAAAAACAAATAAAAAATTAAAATAAAAAGTGTGGAAAATTTAAACATAAATTGAGAAAGATTGGTGATGAAAAATGAATTCTGCGAATAAAAAGTTAGTCTCGATGTATATGTGCCGTAAAAAATTTTCATTTTGAATTGAAGATAGAAAAAAAGTGAAAAGAAGAAGGAAAAGAAATTGAAATTGAAGATGAAAAATTTTTCTTTAATTTTTATTAGATACGAAAATGTATATAAGATGTACTCACAACAGGGATTCTATCCTCCTCACGATATGTTCTTTCTCTTCGTTTGATGTTCCATTATCAAATTAGGCCTTCATATTTCTCACACATTCTCGATCATCATCAAAAATCCCCTTCCCCATTTCACTTTAATTTAAATCAAGTAAATCCAGAAGTATGATCATAAAAAGTAGTGTATATGGCACACACAAGATGATCATGCTGATGATTTTCTCTCTTTCTCTCTCTTTCGGAAAAAGTCAGTGATTTTCACCTTGTACATTCATCTCATCTTGGCAGCCTAGCAGGCACAGAAAGTGAAGCATTTTCATTAATTGGAGTAGTAACATAGGTCGCTCTCCTTCATTTTATGCGTTATATATGTCGTGTTGGAGAAAGAAAAAAAAAGTTGTGAAAAATTGATGATGCGCTATATGGGTGATGATGTCTACCTAGCAATAAACAGCCTTTTTACGACATTCGTGTTGGAAATTAAAATGTAAATTAAATAAAAATTTTCCTTCTTACTAGACTCTTTTCCTTTCTTCACCTTTTTTACTTGGATACAAAAAAAGATTGTTTTTTTTTTTTTTATCAAAATAGAATTGCAGAAAAAAATATGTTGTCGTCAGTGCCATCCATTTAGTAGTAGTAAACCATTGAGAGAATTAATTAAAATTAATGAAAATATTTCTGCTGTAAATTATGGCTTCTTTCGAGACAAATGTGTTTTCTCTTTTACTCTCATGCCTAACGACAATGTATTTTTAATGCTTCCTCTGAGACAATTTATAGAGAGAGATATATATTATATATTTTATTATATTTTTAAAAAAAATTTATAAATGCAATAATCGCATTTAAAGAAGAAATTGAAGAGAAAATTATGTAACGTTGCCGTGAAATAAAATTATATGGGACTAGACGAAAATGTTGTGATTATTAGTCATGCTTTGTTTTTCACAGACTCTTTTTTTTTCTTTTAATTTTGTAATTTTGTCATAAATGATGTCAAGTTTTCATGTTTCAAGTCTAACTGTCCATGCTTTTTTGATGAATGTTTCATAAAAGTTTATGATTTCACAATTTTTCATAGAAATCCTATGAAGTTATTGCTAAAAGTCATAAGATTTCAAATGAGTCATTAAACATTATTACTGATCAACGGTAATCATCGATTTAAATATATTTGAAAAATCGTTCAGTGAAAAAATTGTGCGTTCAATAAATCAAAGCAATCAATTTTCTGGCCAAACAAATTATTCAATTTTAAATTCATAAAACAGTAGGTAATCTGAAAAGCTGAATAAATCACATAAAGATCAATAAATGATCATTAACACCATTGTTTAAAGTTAAAATACACAGGTGGGCAATTCCACGAATTGATTTTTCCAAAATATTCATCTTTGAATCGAATTTTCTCTTAATTGGAGAACTTTGTAGTTGCAATTTTTTCACAAACTTATATAAAACCGAGCTCTTTCATTCTATCTAACTTAAGCATCTTGTCATGCCTTAATTAATGAAATATCTGTATTTTTGTCAGCGTTGGTATATTACACAATGTTGAATTCTGAATATAAAAGCAGAAATTTACCACTTTAAAGAAATTCAGACAACTATTAATGGTTGTCATGACTTTCTTTCTATCCTCTTCTATGATTCTGCATACTTAAATTGACTTGAAAGCTACTCAATAGACAGAAAAATGAATAATTTTAATGCAATTAATGTAATATACCAACGCTTAAGCCAAATGCATGAGAAAATAATTTTTAAAAAGCCAATTTTTACTTTAATTCACAATAATTTCTTTGATTAGAATCTTATTTTTAAAAGTTTAATAGTCAATGAAGATCTTTAACTCATTTTAAAAATTGCAAGCTTAGTTAAAGTTTATTTTTGAAGCAATCAAATTTTTAAAGAACATGGATCAAAAATTTATTTTTTTCGAAATTCAAACCATCCGTGGAATTGCCCAGGGTTAAGCTAAAACAGCGATGAAATTTTCATAAAATCAAATTTTGTTGTTTTCTTTCTAGTTTTTTTAAAAATAAATTTCAAATTCAGACTGACTGTTAAACAGCAACGTCCAATATATTGAGTCGAGTCCCATATGTATAAAATTAAATCACAAAAAGTCTCTCTCTATCTTTGTCTCTTGTCTTCTTTTTACTCAACTCTGCTAATTAATTTTTTGTGTGATTTTTCTTTAATAGAAAAAGAATTCAAATGGACGAGAAAATGATGAAGAAAAAATTGCTTAAAGAAGAAAGAGTGCAAAAAGTGAATTGAGAAAATAATAATAAAAATAAAAATAACAACAATAATAATAATAATAATAATAATAATAATAACAGCAAAGAGATAAAATTAATTAACAATTGCAAATTTTTTGAGTTCATTAACATTAGTTAACCATCCGATACTGAAGTAAAATTTTTCAAGTGTCAAGCTTATAGCTACATTATAACCACAAAAGAAGTATTTTGTAGAAAGAAAAAAAAATAGTGAACTTTTTGGTGTGGAAAAGAACTTAAATAATATATAAAAGTGGAAATTGATTCTGCCAATCTCATTTGAAATTCAATTAAACAATCTTAATGTTTCAATCAAACCAAATCATGGACACCATTCAAATGTACAATACAATAGAGTGGCCGCATTTAATTGATTTAAGAGACAATTGCAATTGGTATTATCAACAAAAGGATTTCATCGTAGGGTGTACATCATAAGAGAACATCTATTCAGAAAAAAATAAATAAAAAAGTATTTCATATTGCACATTCTTACGCACAAAATAATAAACAAATACACAATACAATATACATACAATTTAAGAACGAGAGTAGAGGAATTGAAAGTAATAGTAATAATTCATTGAAAGTTGTGAAGATAAAAAGAAAACCTCAAGAAGAATTTCTAGAATAAAATTTATTGACTTCAAATAAAATAAAATAATACTAAAAGACTAAGAAATAAACGAAGCAAGTAAAAGAAATAAAATATAAAAGTTGATCATCGAAAGTATTTATTCATCGTGCTGCCGAAAAACTACAAGTAACGGATTTTTTGAATGTCGCTCCTCTCAGAACGGGGGCGATAAATAATAAAAAAGACGCAATGAATGCGCACACATTGCGCAAATGGAGTTCAATCAAAATTTTCATGTATCTGTTGCTAACAATTTGTTCGTTATTAGTTTTTTGGTGTCAAGGTGCATCCGCTATGCACCTAACACCGCTTGATTTTGCATCATCTTCCTCATCATTACGAGAACATCATTCTACACTGCCATTGGAGCAAAAACATTCTATATCTTCAGTAAAGCCATTCACGCAAAATTACTTCTTTTCGCTTATAAGAAATGCATCATTATTAAGTCATAACACTCAAAATCATCATTTTCAAAAAGAGGAAAATAACAATTTAAAGCTACAGAAACTATGGCAAATGCGAATGAGAGAAAAGCGTGCAAGAATTCAAGCGCATCGGAAAGAGAAGTTACTACTTCAGAGGCTTCTCGATCACCGTGCAAATCCAAACGCACAAAGTTCAAATCTTGAAAAACTTAAACTCGATGTGCTTGACCATAATATATTGTCACATCACAATAACTATAAGTTAAGAGATCCAGCAGCAGCAGCAGTCACAGCACAAAATTTAGATAATAATAAAAATGACACAAATTCGCAGCATCGGAGAGAAAATTTGTACGAGATGCTTAATGAGATTAGAGCGAATATATCTGTGGCAAGTAATAGAAATCGACGAGAGTCAAGATTTCATCATTCTCAGCAACAGCAACAGCAGTCATCACAAAATTCAAACCATCATCATCACAACCACCACCATCACCAGCAGCAGCATCAAATGCCATCTACGCACAATATTAATAATAGTAATAACATTAATAATAATTTTATGCATAATATAAACAATAATAATAATAATAATAATTTAAATAATAATAATAAGCAAGGTGGAAATCGTCGCAATGGTCGAAAGCGATATTGTTCAGCACGAGATCCACGTACATTAGCTTTTGAAGCGCCAACAGTATTTGAGGGTAAAATTAAATCAATGACATTAGATCGACAGCAAAACTTTTCAGCAACTGTCGAAATAATCCAAGTGTATAAGCAGCAGGCAAATTTTAAGCTTCCAAAGCAAGTGCGTCTTCAATTTGCATATAAAAATGCCAGTGAATGTGACATTTATCGTGAAGAGTTTCGACATCGTGGTTTTGTGCGTGATGAACTAGAACAGGGAAGGATTTATTTTTTCTTTGTCAAACAAATAGGCTTAGGTAATTTTACAATATTAGGACAACCAATTAAGAAAATCAATCGTACTACTAAAGATGTAGAGATAGGTGTAAGCGAAAAATATGGTGAGTACATACAAATTTTAATGTCTAGGAAATAAGTAAAATGGAATGGAAACTTTAAACGTCTCAAAGTCATACAGATGAAAAGTTTCTCAAACGCGGCGCGTTAATGTCCTAGAAAAAAATAAATAAAGCGCAGAAAATTATATTACTAGGTCACTTACATAAAACTTCATCAAAAAGATAATTTTTTTTTTCATCATATTTCGCTTGTCTCTAATTCAATTTCAAAATCTGATTTTGCCAACATGTCGAGAGACTTTAATTTAGACATGAATTTGTGGTAGAGTGCCACAGCTGCAATGGTTCACATTTGTTAATGTTATCATTTGTATAGTAATGAGATAGTAATAATAACAATAACATCAATATTTTTATTTATTTATTTAACTCTTAAAAGAAATGAGTGAGAAGAAAACACGAGAAGAAAAAAACTTGAACCATACAAAGTTGGAAGCTACAACTGCGAATGGTTTGTTTACGTTTTTGCCCTAAAATGGGTTTTTATAGAAAGCTACTATGCTACTATGCGATAATTTATACTCAATCTGGACACAGGCTAGCAAAAATGTGTACATAACAGCATTTATGCTCAATGCGCGCCAATCTACAACAACATAAATAAAAAAAATATGTTTAAATAATATATAAAAGAACTATACTATATGTGTAGCTCGATTGAAGGGGCATGTCCATAAATAATGTGCTTACTTAATCATGAGAATTTGCAATAGGCACAAATTCTTAGAACTTATTGATAATGCATAAAATTCAAGTTCCATAGCATTGGTCTGATCGAGCTTGTTGTTAACAGAAAAACAGCATGAAGATGGCTTTCTCATTTCATGATTAGTTCTGCATATTTTTCACATAATCAATTTTATCATTATTAGTGGATCAAGCTTAGTAAAACCGCATAATGCACACTTTATCAACCAGTCAATCACTCAGTCTACGATATATTATAAACAAAAACATTCAGGCTCAGACACAGACCTTTCAATCCCTTAATGAACTTTACGCGCGACGGCATTCGAAAACATTTATTGCCAAAAAATAAAAAATAATACACGACGATGCTTTGATGAAACATCTTTCTCACACTTTTGGCACTTACTTGTTATTGACGACATTAATATGACTGCTCTTCCACCACATTTCGTTGTTTTTTTTTTGCTCCCAATATGCAATGCCTCACTCTCTTTCTCATCTGCACCGACTTATGCCATATTATGCACACAAAACAACATTTTTTGTATTATTATTATTACTTTTTACGTTTTTCTAAGAAGACATTAAAAATTATTATTTTTTTTTTGCGCCGTGAGGATCTCGTAAATATATATATTTTTGGGGTATCGTGAATGACTTTTTATGTTGTTTATGTTGTTGGCTAAAAATGTGAATAATCCTTTGAACCAATACGAAAACTACATATGTGAGTGAAAGATGTCAACAACCCGTAATACGTCGTCTTGAGAATTTGGCGAATTTTTTTTTTGATGGTTTTTAAGGTAATGTTGTCAAGGGGTGGGCAGCTGTTAATAGATTTTGGTTATAGTTTAGATTTAGAGACTTATTATAGTCGGAATATAGCTTGATTCCTAGTCATACTTTAACTAGCTTTTTATCAAATTAAACTAAGATTCGAACCCTAGACATAAGACTTATATTACCAGTGCTTAACCAGTTGAGATATTGAACCTTTTTTGCCTTTTTTGAGTAATTTGCTAGCTACCTTACTCCTACTAGTAGCTACTAATCTATTGAACCTACAAAAAAAGAATTGAATTTCTAGACATTGTCCAATCCAATTAAAAACTCACTCCAAAAAGTGGTCGCACCTTGTTAAAAGCAAGTTAAAAGCTATAAAATTAATACGCATAAAATAAAGCGAATCATCGACTAGAATTTTTCTTTTTTCGTCTTTACGTCTTCTCGACAACAAGAGAAAAAAAAATTATTTCCAATCATCTGCTCAATTTCGTCACAACACCATTGGTTTATTGACTGTTTTAGCATTGAGTGAAATAATGGAATGTGAAATTGGAAATAAAGAGAGGCAACTGAACTAAATTTCATTTTTATCCTTTTCCTTTCTTCACTTCCTCGACACACACAAAATTGACCAAGAAAAAAAAAACATTTTAGTTAAGAATTTTTTTTGGTTCGACTACCTTTTTCACTTATTCATTAATAATAGAAGGAAGAAAAAAATAAATAATAACAATGAGAATGAGAGATTGGCTTGGACACACACAAATTGAACCGGATATAAGGCTAAATATGTCCAAAAAAAATTATTTAAGATCTAAATGAATTATGTGTTTTTATATTTTTAACTATATCAGCTCATTTCATACGAATTTTAAAGAAATGAAATTAGAGGTAGGAGATAAACTTAGAGCTGCTAAGTTAGTGCGCATTTATAGAATTCAATGTAGTTTCTTCCTACGTATTTTCGATAAGCAATTGAAAGTAGGAGTTTTCTCCCAACCTCCGAACAACGAGGTTGTGGAATTGTCAATTTTCCATAATTTAATTATTTCCGCGTAGGAACCAGACAGCAAATATAGTTTAAAGTGCATACAAATAACTAAAGACCAGATTAACAAAGGAGAAAACTCAAAAAAAGTCGCGATTTAGTTAAATTTGGAGAAACTTTGGAATTGAACAAAAAAGGTGCAAATTTTTGCACATTACCAATACAAAATATAAAACGGAATTGATCATCATCGGAATACCAAAGAACATTTAATTATATCGACAAATCACGATCGGCGGCAGTTGTGAGGAGAATCCATTGTTTCACGTGGGTTTTTTGTGTTCTACCAACAATCGTGGACAAGAAGGTTCTATCATAACCATAACCTAGACATTGAATATTATTGGAATATAACGGATTATCGTCAATTGTGAGGAGAATTTGTCTCGCGATGGCTTTTGTGTTTTTCCCCATATATCGCGTGCAAGTTCTATCATTTAATTGGTGCTGACTGGATTTCAACAAATCAACATTGACAAATAGGAATCGATCATCTCGGAATACAGCAGAACATATTAATTACATTGACAGATCACAATCGAGACATAACAAAAATTTGAATCTATTTGGAATATCACAAGTTGAATTACAAGAAGGACTGTCAAGGGATCTGGATCATCGACAACTGAAGATGGAATTTTATGCCCAGCGATGGTTTTTTGTTGTTTTGACTTATCGCGGGCATGTTTTCTGTCAACCATTTGGAGTTGACTGGATTTTATTGATTGTTCTTTGTGAATATTTGTAAATTAAACTATCTGGAATTGTGAACGGTCTTTAAATAGCAATAAGCTGATGGACCATAATAATGTTAATTAAGAAGAAGAAGAAGAAGCAATTGAAAGTTTTGAGGTCAACGGTTTTTTGAAATTTGAATTTTCATTAAAAAAGTTTGGACCAACGGATTACAAAATTTCAAATAACATGAGATTCTAAATCTCAAAATTTGATTTTTGGAAAATAACGGATTTAAGTTTTTAAATTAACGGGTTCTCAACCAAAATTATGAATTTCAACAATATTTTGAATAAATCGTAGAAGACTTGAGCACTAGTCTTCAATTTCAGCCATCTGCAGCCACCCAAAATGAATCAAACTACTTCCTCAATATCGTTGCTACAAATTCGTCAACCATGCTTACTAAGAAGTAAAAATTATGTCGAAAAATGAGAGACTTTTAATGAATCACATTGAAAAAGAAGTGAAAGAGAAGGAGGAAGCAAGAATTCTTACCTAATTGCTATCTAATTGACCAGATGAATTTTGCTACATGTTAAAAAATTTGTTACTACAACAAAACATTTTCTTTATTTCATTTTGCATCGATTATTTCATATCTTTTAAAAAAACCTAATGTTAATGCAGCATTAGTAATGCGCATTAAAGGTCTACACACGTTCATTCGAGCATGTTTGTTGTTTTCTTATTATTTCTTTCAATTTGGTATCTAAAATCTTCTACCGCAATTCGAAGGCACACTTTGAGGCTTTTGAGGAATGCTTCATAATAATAACATGCAGTGTGCATATTTATAAGCATTTATAAAGTATACAAAAGAATGCACATTGTTGGTATCATAACAACAACATGTATGCATGAGTGTACATATACATAAACATACATTGAGATGGACTTAAATGCTGCAAAAAAATAAAAACTATTAGAAGAATTTTTCCTACATTGCTCGTTTAGCATGTGTTGGCTCATGTGCGTATACATAATGGTCTCTCATCACTACAGTTTATTTCACCTTGTCATATGCATTATGAGACTCAAATTTGTCGTCTCTACTGTATCATTTCAATTCAACAATTTTCGTACATGCTGCTTCTGCTGCTTTGACATTTTTTTTTTTCATGAAAAGAATAAAACTGTAATTTGTATCAAAGACTCATTGTCTGGTCTTGTGGGATCATCAATATCATTTTCATTATGCTAGTCAGTACACAATGCATGTGTGAGTAAAACATCTGCAAAATAGATTCATATTCATTAGCTGAATTGATCACCATCAATTTTATGGATATATGACCCATTGCATTTTTTTTTTCTTCTTTGAGTCGGCATAAAGTCATGAAGTTTTAGCAACTAATGGGCTCGTCCGATTCATTACCCAAATTTAATAACCAGATCTCGTTCATAATGTGGGGTTGGACATGCTAAAAGAAATTATTTTGCGACTTGTCTGTGGATATTAAAATTTTATGGCTGTCGACGAGGATGAGACTTTTTAGTGCTTTTTAATTTGGAACAATAGTTATTGTATAGCAGATTGTTAAGTTGACTGATGTGTTGTAGTTCAAGCTTGTTCGGAACTGATAGAAATTATTGTGATTAGTTCAAAGTTAAATAAAGACAGAGGTTCAATTCCTTTGAAATTCAAAGAAAAAACCGGTAAATATTGCAACATTTTGAAAGGTTTTTGCATTTTGAAATTAAAATAACCGTTAAATCTTAA